GAATATAGGTCAAAATTTTGTTTGCAGATGTCCAAATATCTCTGTTTATGCTCTTCTGTGAGTTGTTTCGGTAGTCATCTCACACAAACTTATCGAAACCCAAGTAAGTCTGTTGTGGATTGTTTCTTAGGCAGAGCCATGGCTGATTTGCATATGATTTGCCACATAAACCACTGTCACTCATCTAGTTGGCAGAAGCATTCCACGTGCATGCTCAGTGTTGTCATCAGCTTTGGATGTGGAAGGGCGTTTTAACATACCAGAGTTGGAATCATTTTTGACTCATCCTCTCTCATACAAACAACCTTATACACAAAACCCTGACAACTCAGATGAAATTTTGAGGATTCCTCAAAACTACAAAGTAACAAAACACTCAAGATGAAACAGATAATTTGAATAGTCCAATAACTAGCAGAGGAATTGAACTCATTATTAAAATCTTCTGAAAAAGACATTTCCAGACCCAACTAGTTTTACTGGTCCATTTTATTTAACCATTTAAAGAACAAATCATTCTATACAACCTCTATGATCAGGTCAGAGCAGTTCCTTCATCCTCCAAAATTCCTTTAGATCCTTGCCTTGCCTGGCAAACAATTCTACACAACCTCTAGAACAAATTCTACACAACATCTTCTAGAAAACATGAGGGAATACTTTCTACTTAATTTTTATGAGGCTAGTTCTTCCCATATTGCTTGGTATAATTCCAATAAAAATCCTAGCAGGATTTGTCAATATAGACAAGCTGCTTATAAAATGTATATGGAGAGGCAAAAGAATTACCAACAGAATGTTCAAAAAGAATAGAAATGAAGGAATCACACTATTCAATTTTAAGACTTACTGTAGTAATTTTAAGAGTACAGTAGTCAAAATAGTGTGCTATTGGGCAAAGGAGAGACATATATACTGAACAAAAACAAAGTCCAGAAATAGACCATATAAATATGGCCAATTGATTCAACTTGGGGGGGGGAGGGGAAGTATACTCTTCAACAAATGCAGTTGGAACTAATGGACATCCATATGAAAATGAACCTCAACCTAAAGTCCATACCTTATACAAAAAGATCATATACTAAAAAAAGTAATAGTATAATCTTTTTGTATGATCTTTGTGATCTTAGGCAAAGATCTCTTAGATATGACAAATAAATTCACAAAAGCAAGATCCATTAAAAAATGGATAAACTACACTCCATCAAAATGTAAATTTTTTGCCTTGTGAAAGACACCTCTAAAAAAACTAAAAAAAACTCAAACTAAGAGAAAATACAGATTACATATCTGACAAGGGATTTGTATCCAGAATATATAAAGAATGCTCAAAACTCAATAGTGAGGAAACAAACAGCTCAACTAAAAAATGGGCAAATGATTGGAATACTTCATCAAAGAGGATATATGAAAGGCAGTTAACCACATGTAAAGATGTAGAGATTGAGAGCCATTATGGAAATGCACATTAAAACTGCAATGAGATGTCAGTACATGCCTATCAGAATGGCAGTACCAAATATTGTCATGGATGTGAAGACATCCTCAAATATGGCTCTCTCATACACTGCCAAACAGTATTACCAATCTAACCGGAGAATCAAAAGACTTATAGAAAGAAAACTCTAAAACACTACTACAAGAGACCAAGAGACCTACAAAATGAAAGACTCTACAATACTCCTGGATAGGAAGACTTAACATTGTGAAAATGTCACTACTACTCAAAGCCATCCATACATACAATGCAATTTCAATCCAGGTTTGCAATGTATGAAAGATCCATATGAGAAAGTTTGACAATTTCTTAGAAAATTAAATATACCTTTACCATATGAGAAATCAACCATAGCTATATACTCTAAAGAAATGAAAACTTATGTTCACACAAAAATCTATACACAAATGTTTCTGTTGTTGTTGCTGTTAAGTGCTAACAAGTTGATTCTGACTCAAAGCGACCCTGTATAGGGCCTCTAAGGCTTCAAATTTTTGCAGGAGCAGAAAGCCTCACTTTTCTCCCATAGAGAAGCTAGTGGGCTTGAACCACTGACCTTGTGGTTCACATTCTAAGAGCTTATCAGACAGAACAACCTTAAGAGAATAATTTTATAAATAAGCTATCATCAAAGCTACATATATAAGGTCAACATACCAAATTCAACATATACACGAGAACATATTTCTCTTCGCCAAAAACAGTGTAATATTTTTAATGGCAACAAGAATAGTAAATACCCAGCGGTTAGCTTAAAAATATATACACAACATCTTGAACAAATGAAGCAAGAAATGATGCTCAAATGTTTATAAGCAACTTTATTTCAAAATCACCTCAAACCACCTAAATACGTCTCAACGAGTGAATGGAAAAGAAACTTCGCATATCCATACAGTTGTAAGACCTGGACAAACCTTAGACATTATGCTGAGTGAAAGAAGTCAGTATATATAAGTCACATCATGTATGATGGATGGCACTTAGGTGACATTCTGGGAAAAGCAAATGTATAGGTACAAAGAACAGGTCAGTGTTTGCCAGGTGAGGCAAAGATCTAAGGGAATTTTGGAGGGTGAAGGAACTGCTCTGACCTGACCATAGTGGCAATTACATGGTTAAACTTACAGACTATTACACTCCTAAAGAACAAGCACTGGACTACTAACCACAAGTTTGGCAGTTCTAACCCACCAGCCGCTCCTCAGAAACCCTATACACGGCTTATATGAGTTGGAACAGACTAGACAACATTTAACAACAGCACAACAAAAATTAATATTACAGTATGTTAATTTAGAAATGAAAATATAGACAAGTCAATTTCTTTAAGGAGCTCTGGTAGCATAGTGGTTACAAATCGGGCTGCTAACCTCTAGGTGAGCAGTTTGAGGAGGAGGCATTCTGCTCCCATAAAGATTTATAGCCTTGGAAACCCTGTACAGGTTTGCTGTGAGTCGGAACTGATTCCATGGCACATAACCACCACCAATTTCTTAAGAAAAATGGTTTAACTAAATTTCTCCTAGAAAGGTTGGTCTTTGGGCCTGTTTGTCCATCTCTAATAAGAGGCTCAGTCTAGACTGTGCTTTTCATTCTTTTTTTCCTTCCAAACTGTGCTCCCAGATACTCCCATGTGGACATGGGGGTGGGTGAGTTTGGAGAGGAAAGGGCATTTGGATCTACTGGACCATTTGTACTTTCGTCTGTATGTTAACCTTTGGGTTAGAATAGCTGGGCTCAAGCCAAATCCCTAGAGACTTGTAGAGTCTGAACACTTCCAGATTCCAGGCTGACAGTTAGGGGTCCTGACTTGTACTGGCTGGCAAGTACCCCCACAGATCCCACTGGTGAGCTGGCTCTAGCCCTGATTTTAAAAAGGCATTTTGGGGAGAACTAGAATTGTATTCTCCACTGAAAACCCCTTGGCCACACATAGATGAAACATAATAGGAAGTTGGAAAAGGTTGGATGGAAAAGGACTTGGAGCCTTTTTTTTTTTTTTTTAACACATGAGATGATCTTTTGAAAGAACACTTTGTAAATATAGGAACCCTGATGGCACAGTGGGTTAAGCATCACATGGTTAGGGCACCGGGAACCCTGTCATCCTCACAACTGCCCTGTACAGAAGGGCTGCCGTTGCTTGACAGGTGAGGAAAGAGCACCTCTGAGAGGCTCCAGGTCACATGGAGCGGAGGTGACAGAGATGGGCCTGGCCCGTAGCTCCAGCTTTCTACTCAGCTCAAGAGAGGGAACTTCAGGTCAGGCCTGCTCTCTCAGTATGTGACCTGGAGAAGGGACTAAAGACTGTTGGGGGTGCTAAGGGTATCTTCAGGCACTGCCATCTAGAACAACAATCAAACATTTACATTTTTAAAGCAATTTTATACAGCGAATGCTTTTTTCCAAAAGGATTTTATGTGTAAATCCAACCTAGAAAATCAGAGTTGGGCCACTGAGGTTGAAGGTGCAAAAAGAGTGGTCTGAGGCTCCCAGGATTCCTGAAGCGCCACTTGAAAGACACCTGTCCAACAGGCTGGTGCTCCCTGTAAGGAGTGCAGATGGTACCAGGATGCTTAAGGTTCTAGCTTTGGGTGGTCTTTTGGCAGATACCTTCTTGGGTTAGCTGGCCTATAAGAGGCTAAGAATGAGATGGTCTTCTGACGGATTCCTTCCTGGATTAGCTGGCCTGGAGGAAGGCTGTAGGATTCTGGAGCTGCCACGTGTGTTGGGTGCTACCTGTAGGTCCCTACGAGCTGGGCGCCACCTGTCTCCTTCTCTTTAAGCAGGCCCCAGCAGCCATGACCTCGGCAGTCACTCATAGGACAGAAAACTTATTTTCATGGTATGGATTAAATTGTGTTCCTCAAAAATATGTCTCAACTTGACTGGGCCAGGATTCTCAGTGGTTTACCAGTTACATAATCATGTAACTACACCCATGATATAATCTGATGTGATCAGTCTATCATGTGTAAGGCAGTTATGGTAGAATGCAACGTCCTTACTGAAATCACAGCCCTGATTCAATGTAAGGGGATGTAAGGAGAGTTTCCCTGGGGAGACAGGAGACAGAAATAAGCAGAGAGAGAGGGACCTACCACCAAAAAAGAATAGCTGGGAGCAGAACACATCTTTTGGGCCCAGGTTCTGGTGCGGAGAAACTCCTAGACCCAGAGTCCACAGGTGGAGAAATCCTTCTGCTGTAGATGGTGCCAGAATCTGGACTTCCAGCCTCCTAAACTCTGAGATAATAAATTTGCTCATGAAAGTCATTCACTTGTGGGTTTTCTGTTATAGAAGTACTAGATAACCAAGATTATCACTTTCATTTAGTGAGTTTAATCTTGAAGTATCATGGACTGCAAGGCTAAAAACCAACCTCCCTTTTTTCTTACCCTTAGAAAAGGCACCATTTGGTTTTTCTCTATCAGCCAAGTGGAACATTCCAGTTTAGATCAACAGCAGGTCTGTGCCTCTGGCCCAGGGGCAGAAGTGGCTCAAAGTGGAATCATTAAACGGACCTCCTGCTCATACACATCAGGGATCATACCCATAGGGGAGTTGACCATGTGCACGGTGTTCTTGCCAAACAGCTGAAACTCATAGTGGATGAGCTGCTCCCAGAAGCCATTGTTGGGTCGGATGATGGGCCGGCATGACTTGGTCCACACGTGGGCATCCAGCAAGGACATGGCATGGTATTTCATGAGGTAGGCAAGGCAAAGGGCAGCCGAGCGGCTCACGCCAGCGGCGCAATGCAGCAGTGTACGTCCCTGCTTCATCTCCACACTGTGGATGTGGTCAGCGATGGGGTCAAAGAAGTCACAGAGACGTGAGGTGGGGGCATCAGCCACTGGTACCTGCAGGTATTGGATGTCTTCATAGCGGGTGTTCACCACCTCCACCGAAACGTTGATGACTGTGGTGATCTGGTGGCTGGACAGCATGAGCTTGTTGTTGGCAGCCACACCGCTGCTGATGTACAGGCTGCTGGTGACCTGTGAGAGGCCACTGACGGAGGGCTGCCGGAGCAGAACCGGGAAGGCACATGTAGGGGCTGTCATCTAGGCAGTGGCTCAGTGGTCAGTGGGGTAGGAGGGATGCATCTTTCTGCTGGGCTGTGTCCACACAAGCTACAGAGAGTAAGGGTGAGGCTTAGTGGGCAGAAACCCAGCAGGACCAGCAAGCTAATCCTGAGGATTCCGGAGCTTATAGAAGAATTGCCCAAAGGGTGGTCCTCTAAGTACCTGCAGCAGGATTCCCTAGGGAACTCAATAAAAATCTAGTACCTTGCCCCTCCCCACGTCCACTCGGTCAGACCTCAGGGCCAGAAGCAGGACCCAATTTCAGCACTGCCCTATAGGACTGAGGGCAAGCCCCAGTCTGGCACCCCAGGCCTTCTCTAAGGAGTCCCATATTTCTAGTCGGGTAGGCTGGCTTATACCTCTTAGCAGTGCCCTGACTTAACTCCATATCTAACTCACACGGTCCCCTCTCTGCTTCTTGTCAAAATCCTCACCTTCCTTCAAGTTCCTCTAAATAGAAGCCACCTGCACAGTCTCCCTCCTTAGCCTCTTGAATTTATGCCCAACTCAGAGGGAGGGTACCAGCTTCCCCCATCCCAAGGTCATCTCTCTGAAGAGACAGCATGTGCCCATGTGGAAAAGACATCAAATTACCAAGTCTACATGTTAAACATGCTTCTGCACCTTGTGGCTAAGGGTCTGGGGGCGAGAATAGGTGAAAGTTTCCTGGAGGAACAGCCTGGGTACCATAGAAGAACCAAGGGCAAGTGCAGAGGGGCAGGGGGGCTGGCCAGAATAAGGCTGCCTGCAGCAAGACTGTGGCATGTACCTACCTAGGGAAGGGCCTTCTCCCAGAAATCCCAGGCCTCTCCCTCTCCCAGCCCTGAACAAAACTGCAAAAAATAGCGCATGCTCACCAGTTATACTGAAATTGGAACATCTGGCTTTAGATCATACCTCTCAATGTCAAATGGCAGTTCTTACCAGGTAAAGAAAACTGGAGAGACCAAGTTTTGTTCCCCTGCTTAGAACACTCGAGAGGCTGCCCTCTATCAGAGTAAGATAGAACTCCTGTCAAAGCCACTGGTGACCTGGCTCCTGATCATCTCTTCAGCTTCTAGTTAGCCCTCTCAGCTTCCTGAAGAGCTCCAGCAAGGCTGAGCCACTGGTAGTACCTTATTGATACCCTGTCCTGTTTGGCCCAAGGCCTTTGCCTCTGCCATATGCTCCCTTTGCTTACATATCCAATTCTGGTCTGTTCCATTCAGTGGAGGCACGGAGAAGTCTGCAGAACCTTGGGATCATCGCCCAGAGGTCATTTCCTTAGGGAAACTTCCAGAACAACATCTCATCCCTCCCCCATGTTTAATGGTGCCCATTGCTCCAGGATTTCTTAGCCACCGTGTCCCCTCTTCTCTCCCCAATTCCTAATTACTGAGGCTGTGGCACTGCTGGGATATAACTATGTCCATCTTCATTCCTCATTCCCATTTTGTATTACAGGTGTCGAGCAATGTGTCCCTACTAGTAGGTTCTAGATAAATACAAGGATGCTTCAAAAAGTTCTTGGAAAAATAGAATTAAAAAAAGAATGGAATGACACCAATAACTACTTGCCAGATTTCTCTACAATTTTGGGGAGAGTTTGGGAAATGGTGGAGGTGGTTACTTTCTCCCGACAGCAGTTGCTGGTAAGGAAAGCCAATGGCTGCATAGACAAATCCTACTTGCCAATGCCCACAGTCAAATGCATCAAGAAAAACAGCTGGTCCACATAAAGCACAGGGAGAAAAGCTCACAACACGCAGTTGGAAGACAAAATGCTTAAGAATTTCTGGATCCTTATCATCAGAAAACCCAGAGAGTAGACTGAGGGTCCCAGGGAGCAATAGGAATAGGGATGGTTGCTGTTCACCACAGTAATAAAACGTTTGCTGTGGAGAAACTGTTCTCGAGGATGAGGGTAACTTTGGGTGGAGAGGCATTTTCGTGCTTCTTAGCTGTAGTCAAGTTGATTCTGACCCATGGTGTACCCAGGTGTGCGGAGTAGAGCTGCACCATTAGGATTTCAAGGATGTGACCTTTTAAAAGCAGATCCCCAGACCTGTCTGTCTTTTGAGGCACTTGGTGGGTGGTGGTGTTAGGCACTGTCAAGGTGGCACTGACTCATAAGAAATCTTATGCACACCAGAACAAAAACACTACCTGGTCTTGCACCAATCTCACCATTATGGCTCTGCTTGAGCCCATTGCTGCTGCCACTGTGCCAATCCATCTTGTTGGGAATCTCTCTCTTTTTTGCTGACCCTCTACTTTACCAAGCACTTCTGAGTGGATCCAAATGGCCAAACATTCAGTTAGTAGTTGAGCACTTAACTCTTTGTGCCACCCTGTTGTTAAGTGCCATTGAGCCGATTTTGATTTATAGCTACCCTGTATAGGGGTTCCAAGGAGCAGGTGGTGGGTTTGAACCATCAACCTTGAGGTTCAAACTGACCTTGTGATCGAGTGCTTATCCTACAGCACCACACCAGGACTCTGATTTTCATGCTAGTAAAGAAATATTTCCCAGGTATTATATGAGATTTTGGGGGTGCCGAAATGTACAAGAAAATTATGGTCCTTCTCACACAGCTCAAAGTCTAGTCCTGGAAGACAGACATTAAACAAGCAACTACCGAGCTAGGAGATAAGGATAACGGAGTACCTGGGTAATAAGGTTACTGTGAGGTTTCACTGATCCAGGCAAAGTGTTTAACCCAGGGCCTGGCACAGAGCAAGCCCTCTCTAATTGATAAATGCCTATTTTGCTAGAAGCCTTGGTGATATGATGATTAAGCACTCTTCTGTAAATGGAAAGGTCCGGGGTTTGAACCCACCAGGTGCCCTGTGGGAGAAAAAAACACTGGTGATGGGTTCCTATGGAAGCAGTTGAAGCCTGTCACTGTGAGTTGGAATGGCATGGGCAGCACACAACTACATTCTTGTTCAATTCCAACTCATAACGACCCTGTGTAGGGTTTCTGAGACTGTCCATCTTCACAAAGCAGAAAACTTCACCTTTCTCCCGCCAGAGCGGATGGTGGATTCTAACTGCTGACTTTAGGATTAGCAGCCCAACGAGTAACGCACTACGCGTTATTGTTGTTAAGTGCCATCAAGTCAGTTTTAACTCATAGCGACCCTGTCCATGGTTTCCAAGGAGTGGTTAGTGGGTTTGAACTGCAGCTCAGTACTAATACTAGAAGGAGCTCTGGTAGCACAGTGGTTACAAATCGGTCTGCGGAACCGCAAGGTAAGCAGTTTAAAACTACCAGCTGTTCCTCGGGAGAAAGATGAGGCTTTCTGCTTCCGTAAAGATTTACAGCCTCGGAAACCCTGTACAGGGTCGCTATGAGTCGCAACCAACTCCACGGCACAAAACCACCACAGGGTGTTGCAAATACCATGTAAAGTGACGCAGACCTGAAGAAATTTTAGCTGGGGGTGCTGAGATGGTGAAACGGAAACTCGGCAACAAGTGTATCATCATTGCTTTATAGCTTTGACTTTCCTCATCTGGTTCCATCTTCAGAGTAACCTACCTGGGTCACACACGGTACACGTGAGGCAAGGAGAGGAAAGGACCTCTTTCAGTGTCATAAAGCAGGGGCCCCAAAGGGGATCTTTCTGATCTCATTACACATAGCAAACGTCGGCAAACACCGCGGGAGTTCATGAAACATAGAAAAAGAATTACTAGTTGATGAACGCAAGGCGCTATACCGCGGGTGGAGGAGGGGAATGGGCCAGGTAGGCTTCCAGCAGGTGGTGCTGGAATAGGGTTCTTTGCCAAGTTCTGTGATCTCAGCTTCAGGCCACAGCACCGTTGCCAGTTGGGACCCCGGCCGCCTTACCTCTCTGAGCGGTTGGGCGGACAGACGGGTGAGTTCGTTTAGGAAGTCTCTGGCGAAGGTCTAGGGACGCAGAGACTTGTCACGATCTCGGAGCCACAATTCCGGAAGACCAGGCTCGCTGGTTTCCATGGCAGCTGACGCTCACCGCAGCAAGGGTGGTGCCAGACTTCGGGGAAAGCAAAAGCTATGCTCCCGCTCTGGTGTTACCCCACCCCAGTTCACCCTGTTACTTGCCCCCGCGTACTACCATTATCAAGGTCTAGAGCGCAGGCGGTTCGCCGCACTCCAGCCAATTCCATTCCGCTCTTCCCGTTTCCACAGCAACACGCTGGGCCGCGCCACGGCGGCCGCTGAGGGACAATCCTGTCATTCCGCTGTCTCCCAGGCTGAGTTAAAGCCCCGCCCAGTTTGCACGTTTCCCGGACTACGCGCGGTGCCCAGAGCTGGCCCCCAGCTCAGGGACTTAATCTGTGAGTCTGCGCGCCATCATTAAGCATGTCTCCCGTTGTCCCCAGACATCATCTGGCTCCCATCCCGAAATTATACACGAGTTTAGAAGACTCACGTAGACATTCGTCCAGGCCTTCGGTCACATGGAATCTGAACTCGCCTGTGGCTAATGCGACCTCCTCCCAGGCAGCCACCAGTTTCAACAGCACCCCGGTCACCAGCGCCTTGCGACGTGATTCGCAGGACAGCCGCCAAGACGTGTGGAGGGGCGCCCAGCCGCAGATCTGCTTCCTGCGGCCGCGGACATCGCAGCCGCTAGTCCTGTTCAGGTGTGGCCCTGGTACCTAGAGTGTTAGATCCCGGGGCCCTTCAGGAAGTCCCTTCAGAGCCAGACCGCTTCTTAGGCCCCCAGGGGCTCCGGATTTCTCTCAGACCTGGGCCCCAATTCCTAGCCCAGCTCTTGGGACCTCTCCCCTCAACCCATCCCCTAAAAGTCAAATTCACACCCCAAACCTACATTTCCTCTGAAAGATTTTCAGCTTGGCAATCTCCTAGGCCCCAGGGTTCCTAGCATCCTTGGCGGGTAGCTCTGAAATCTGATGAGGCCCAGGTCCCCTCAGGCCTGAACCTGCTTGACACCCCTTTTCTTAGCTTTCACTTCCCTCAGTGACCCCAGGAAAGCCCCCTGTTCCCACAAGCCCCAACTTGCCCCACACCTTCCATCACAGGACCACCCTCATACCATCATCTAAGGTCCTAGAGGCCTTGCAGGGGAAAGTAATTTGGCTCAAAATGACTATCATTTGAAAGTAAAATCTCTGTCTTTATTTCCCTTTCTAATTGGTAATTTCTTCCCAATTTTTTTTTTTTCCTTTACCAAATTGGTAAATTTAGTGCACCACTGAGTGGATGCAAACTGTTTCATGTATATAAATATTTTAGGCCTTTTTTAAAAAAACAACTGTGGGCACTGGGGTGTGAGCATTTTGGTTTCTAAACTTCAGCTTTCTCATCATTTCATGCTATGCTTTATTGCCATACATTGTTGTTAAGTGCCATAGAGTCGGTTCTGACTCAGAGCTGTCTTGTATAGGAGCTGTTGGGTTTGAACCACCAGCCTTTCAGTTAGTAGTACAGTTCTTATCCTACAGTGTGCCACGTAGAAGTAAAAAAACCCAAAACTATAAATGGGAGATTGGGATGTTAGTTTGTTTATCCCAGTTTGGAACTATAAAAACTTTCATGAATCTCTAGTTTGAAATTAGCTGAAAATGAATTAGAAAACAATTTGTTAAATCTTTACAAATTGTCATTTTGGGGACTCATTATAAAAGTAGTGTATACTTACTATAGGGGAATCATATAAGACAAAAAAAGCAAAATGCAAGTATTAAGAAATACCCATCACCCCACTTGGTCATCCCACTATTAACATGTTGATATATATCCTTCTAGGTCCTACCTAACATGTATGTATTACAACATGCTGATTTGTTTTCAAATACACATTAAAAGGAGATTAAAAAAAAAAAAAAAAGGATCATTGTTTATCACCTGCTCCCTTTCCCCACCTGGATGCCTAGGTCCATTATAATAATTTTAATAGCTACAAAGTGGTTTATATGGAGTCCTGGCGTGGCGCTGTGGGCTAATGCATCAGACTGCAAAGTCATTTGAACTGCAACATCGGTGGTTCAAGCTCACCAGCTGCTCCTTGGAAACCCTATACAGGGTTGCTATGGGTTGAAATCGACTCAACGGCATTTAACAACAACAACATAGTAGTTTATTGTACAACTTAACCACAGTTTGTTCAATTGCTTCCCTATTGTTGCACATTTAAAGAACTTCCAAAGTTTTAGATAGAATGAACAATGTTTAAATGAAAGCATTTAAAAGTCCATGATTAAGAATTGACTTCACAGCAGTGTGGTGGTGGTTATGTGTCATGAAGTCGGTTACAACTCATAGCGACCAGTAGGTTTAGGTGTTTCTTTTTGTTTTTGCAAAGCCATTCCATGGTGTAACCAAATTATCACAAATGACAGCTATATCTGACAATATCTATTTTTGATCAATTTCTCATGTTATCTCCATTTTCACTTGGAAACTCCCCCACCTGATCTTCCAGTCATCTCAAACCAAACCTCCCTCACTTTTCAAACTTTTTCCAAATCCTCCTCCCTTAAATTTTCTTGTTAACCTGACTCAACTTTTGTCCAGACTCTTCATTCTTTCCCCTGAATCCCCCCTACCCAGACCCCTCTTAGGCCTTAGACCTGGAGCAAGTATCTCCCATAGCAACCCTGCATAGGGTTTCTGAGGAGTGGCTGGTGAGCTTGAACCATCAACCTTGTGGTTCAAACTGACTTGGCAGTCCAGCACATTAACCCACAGTGCCACACCAGGACTCCAGGTATCTCCTGTTGTTGTTAAGTGCCGTCGGGTCGGCTCCAACCCATAGTGACCCTATACAGGGTTTCCGAGGAGCGACTGGTGAGCTTGAACGGCCGACCTTGCAGTTCAAACAGCTTTGCAGTCTGGCGCATTAACCCACAGCCCCACACCAGGACTTCTAGCCCCTCTTTAAATCATTCCTCTGAACCCTGCTTCTAACACTACACCACCACCACTCCTATCTCAGCCAAGATTTCTCCTCAGGACAATTCTGAGTCTCTGCTGACATAGCTGACTGTTCTAGGCCTTTCTACATTCCTCTCAGGGTAGCTTTTCCTCTCAACACCCCTTTATCTCACAGGAAGAACCCTTGTCCTGGCCTTACCATCCCTAAACGGTGCCACCTTCCCCTCTCTCCTCCAGCTTAATGAATTCCAGTGAAGCAGCGACAACAAAATTTCTACCCAAGAGCCACTTATCTCGGGTGATTATTCGTGACAACCTCTGTGCACAACGAATCTTTGAGATGGAGGTAAAGTAGTCACAACTTTTGCATTCAAAGGTGTTAATGGCTTGGACCCTACTCATTTCACTCTGGCCATTGCCTTTGGGGGCAGTTCAGTATTGGGACCTATCAAGGGTGTTTTAATGCAGATCCAATTTTACAGATGAGGTCATTGAGACTCTAGTTACTGACTTGTCCAAGGTCCCACAGATGTTATTGGGCTCAGGGACCTCGGGGGGGGGGGGGGGGACTCTGTATTTTGTCTCTTGTGACATTTCTTTTCTCAAAGCACATTACCGCCTTGTTTAACCATAGGGAATCCATGAGTTGATTCCTACTCTCTCCCATCTAAAGACATTGTGGGTTCTAGAACTTGAAATGGCACCAACACTATCTGTGATTATCAGTGATTAATCTTTTTCCTTTAGAGATGATCTTCATATTCCAAGTGAGAACTTACTTGTGGCTTACCCTACAGCCATCAGAAAAAGGGGAAGGGAACCACAGTGCCACCATGTCACTGCCCCCACAGACAGTGCTTGATAATTCATTGATTAAAGGGCCTGCTTGGGTTGGGCATTGTGTTGGATACTCGGAAGAGACTAGAACAAACAAACTCAAAGAACTTACTGATTTCTTTAAGCAGACCAGGAGCCCAGAGTTGAACTGCTGTCCCCTTCTTGACTCTGTTGAGCTTTTCTCTCATGTTCCAGATCCAAATCTGAGTGGGCCCATTGGATTCTAACAGCTAAAGGCAAAGGGACGAGAAAAAGTCTGAAAAGATGGTGTCAGGTCTTATTAAAGGTCACAAAGACCAAACAAAGAGTAAGAGTCTGGGTATTTCTTCCTCTGTTCAATTTAGAGAAACATGGTGTTGTGGAAAATAGTGTGGGATCTTGGGTAAGTTACGCCTTCCCTGAGACTCTTTCCTCATTTATAAAAGAGGTCTACTTACTTCACATTGGTTATATCATAATCATCTCAGGTACATGATGCAAATATAGATTGTTGGTCCTCACTCAAGGTCCATTAAACTAGACTTCTACATTCTATATTTTTATCAAGCATCTGGAATGTTTCTGATGGTCTTAGGATATACCTGTTCTTCACTTATCGATTTAGGATTAGGATATACCTTTTCCTCACTTATTGACTATCTTGTTATCTGGTATTTCGTATTTCAATAGTCAAAAATCTACTGTAGACTATTTTGTGCATTAACGATGCATATCTGACTATAATGAACGCCAAGGTCCCTGATGGAGTCTGTAGAAAGGAAGCTTATATTGCATAGTATTTGACCACCTGAGAGAGGAGAGGGACTTAGTCTTCCAGAGCCACTGGGGTGCTGAGTGGAGCAGAGGAGGAGTTTGAGTAGGGCCAGTGGGCACAGGATGCTGCCTAGTGAGTCCTGAGTGCCCACAGGCAACTGAGGCTGAAGCAGCATTAGTTGGTATCCTGAAGGGGGGCTGCCCTTGGGCCAGGGAGAAAGCAGGACCCTGGAGAGCCCCAGCTCCTAGTCCAAAGGGGCAACAGGAACAAGACAGGCTGTGGTCAGGAGAAGCCCTTGAGATAGGGCACTCAGGTGCCTGGTGCCTGTGGGACCTCACATTGATTGACACCTGTGCAGCCCATTGTGCTTCCTTGATACCCTCTCCTGGATGGGCACAGGTGAGGGCGGGCCAGGCTATTTGGGTGGGGCTAGGATTAACGGATGCAGTTTAAGGTCAAGGGCAGAGATTGGGCCTGACTATCACTTCCTTGGAAAAGCTCTGGATTATCGATTCTATGGGGACATGGAGTCCTGGTGTGGCACTGTAGGATAAGCACTAGACTGCAAGGTCAAGCTGAACCGCAGGTGGTAGTTCAAACCCACCAGCCACTCCTCGGAAACCCTATACAGTGTCACTATGAGTCGAAACTGACTTGATAGCACTTAACAACAATAACAATGGCGACATGGAGTGAAAGAGGTCAGCATTGCCCAGTGAGATTGAGGGGATGCTCAGGCAAAGAGCCAGTGGGGGTACCAGGTAGGTGGTATGACTCCCTCAGCAGCATCCAGGTCCTCCTACATATGGACAGGGAGCCCCCCAGCCCTTAACAAAGCCATGAATGCTATTTTGAGGTCATTGAGTGGGTGAACTGGGGTCACCCATTCTGAAAACATGGTGAGGTCAGGAGAGGGAGGGAACCTCAGGAATGGGGAGGAGGGTGGCTCTGGAAGACTAAGTGGCCCTCCCCTGTGGGTGGTGGTGGTTGGGGGGCCAGTTCTCCTGGGGTGATGTGAGAGAGGTGGAAGTAGAAGTGGCAGATGACCTAACTAGGGGCCCAGCAAGATTTTCACAGTACAGGTGAGGTAGTGAGCTGGTGTAGTCATCCTCCATTTTGCATCATGCCTATTTCTGCATTGTTGTTGTTGTCAAGTGCCATCAAGTCGATTCTGACCCATAGCGACCCTGTATAGGGTTTCCAATGTGCAGCTGGTGAGCTTGAACCGCCGATCTTGCAGTTCAAACGACTTTGCAGTCTGGCGCATTAACCCACAGCACCACACCAGGATATTTCTGCATAAAGACGTGATATTTAGAACCTACCCATGTCTATAAGTGAGGAGTGGGTATAATCACATCAACATTGACTGACCTTTATGTAGAACTTTGTTTAACATGAAAGGTCTTGAGACAATGTTTGAGCTTACTACAATTCCCCGGAAATCTTGTTTAAAACATAGCCTCCCAGGCTTACCTCCCACCAGATTCTGTTGCCACATGCCTAAAACCTCCCTTTCTTTCATAACCCAGTCCCACTTTATATGCCAACCCAAGAAACCATGAAATGTTTCCTGATGTTTCTCATCTTTGAACATTGTGCTGCTGCTTTAAGGGATGAATCATGGTCAGCCTCACGTTCCTCACTGCATTGTAGCTGCTGTGAAGATTTCTGGCTGACTTTTCCTACTACCTCCTGTTGTAGCTAGTTCATTTGAATAAATGAGCAAGGGAGATGTGGGCTGGGCCTTCCTAAGCTGTTTTGCTGGGGATAGAAACTGTACAGAAGAAATAAGCAGAGTTCTGTGGGACCTAGGGGATGTCACTGTCAATATATGGAAGCACCAAGTGAGCGATAGGCATGATGTGATAAGAGTTGAGTGGGTGGGAGGTGGCAAAGGAACAAGATGTACCCTTTAGCTACTCCCCTCTGCCTTTTTCTGACCAGTATTCAACTAGAGCTGTTGAGGTCAAAGTCGGGACCAGACTGCAGACTTGTTAAAAGGTACCAAAGCGGTTCTCCAGCTCAATGTGCACATTTTACACATAGAGGCACTGAGATTCCCTATAAGTCAAGTTATTGATAGAATATTGGGTCCAGCTGGCAATCTCTCCCCACCCCCAATTCCCAAACTGGCAGCATAGATGCTTCCTTTGCTGAGGAATGGCTTCTTCATCCTAATCTCACCTCTGTTTTTTTTTTTATAAGACAAGAGCTTCTGACAAGACCAAGAAAAAGATGGGCCACTTGTACGACCACCTGAAAAAAAAGTTCATGAACGACCAGCTCAGAAAGCTGGGGCGCTGGAAACGGGAGACCTCGAACCTCCAACAGCACCTGGATAACAAGGTCCAGTTCAAATTGCAGCCTAACAAAATACACATAACCTAGCCAAGCCAGTGAGACCTGCCTCAGGCCAACAGTAACTCTAGAAGAACTACTAGACCCTGGCTAGCCCACACCATTGCTGAAGCAACAATAAACTGATGGCAGCAGACAGCAGAACACAGAAACTATCATAGCAGTTCTAATAGTCCTTGCCCCACACCACTGAGGTGGTTCTTGACTATTGGAGTGGAAGTGGCCCAGTCAAGCCAGATTCCATGGTTAAGGCAAAAAGTGGCCTTTCTGTGTCCATATCTATGAGGTAAAATGCCAGGCCAGGTGCACTGGGATAGTATCTTAGACGGGAAGGGCTTGGTAATGCCATCACTTGCCACTGAGTGGTCAGGAGGTTGGGTAAGGCATCAGTGAGAGCTAGGTCAAGTCCTATTTCTGCCATCCATCAGCCGTATGACCTTGTAATCTCTATGAGCTTCTGTTTCCTTCTTTGAAACAATGAGAAAGGTAGTAAGAGAACTCGCCACCAAGAACTGACATGATGGAAGTACAGATTGATTTGGGACTCATTTTCATCAAATGTCTGCAGGAACTTCCAGCCTTGCTGTCTCTACTCCCTGGCCTTCTGTTCCCAACCACAGCTGAGAGTCTCCATTTGATTGATGCCTTTACTGATGCAGCCTGTCTGCCTGGCTTGCTTCTTCAGCCCCTCAAGGCTCTCACACAACTCTCTTCAACCTTCTAGATCTATCTCAGTGCCATCTCCCACAAAGCTTCCCTGACCTCCTGCTCCCTCCTGCTTGCCTCCTTCACCCACCTAAGCTGCCCGGGTTTCTCTCCCTTCTGAAGTTGGAATAATTTTATGAGCTGCATTCTGCCTTGTGTGGTAGCTGTTTGGGAATATATCTTACTTCCTGACTAGATTCTATACTCTGAGGGTAGGGACCAGGGATAGTCCAAGATTTAGTTCAGGTCTCTTTTTTTCTGTGATGTTGTTGTTGTTAGGTGCCATCAAGTCGGTACCGACCCATAACGACCTTATGCACAGCAGAATGAAACACTGCCCAATCCTGGGCCAACCTCACTATTGCTGCCACGCTTGAATCCATCGATGCTGCCACTTGGCCAATCCATTTTGCTGGGGGTCTTCCTCTTTTTCTCTGACCCTCCACCTTACCAAAAATGATATTCTTCTCCAGTGACTGCTCCCTCCTGACAATATGTCCAAAGTATGAGAGATGAAGTTTGGCCATCTTGGCCTCCAAGGAGCACTCTGGCTGTACTTCTTCCAAAACAAATCTATTGGTTCTTTTGGCAGCCCATGGCACTTTCAATATTCTCCTCCAACACCATAACACAAAGGCGTCAATTCTTCTATGATCTTCCTTATTCACTGTCCAGCTTTCGCATGCATATGAGGTTATTGAAAATACCATGGCTTGGACCAGGCACACCTTAGTTCTCATGTTGACATCTTTGCTCTTCAACACTTTAAAAAGGTCTTGTGCGGCAGATTTGCCCAATGCAATACGTTGTTTGAGCTCTTGACTGCTGCTTCCATGAGTGTTGATAGTTGATCCAAGAAGAATGAAGTCCTTAACAACTTTGATCTTTTCTCCATTGATGCTTCCTCTGTGCTGCTTCCTCTGATTTGGTCCCCACAGAGCAAGTCACTCCTTCGTTGTACCCCTGTGTGTTCACACCCTGTTTCTGCACCGAGGCATTTATGTATTTACATGGTGTCCCTACCAGGTTGTGAATGCCTTCATGGCAGGGACACAAACATTGAGCCCCAAAACTACAATGTCTAGTAAACAGAGTAGTCTATGTTTTATGATCAAATGACTATATTGTTCATATTCTTACTACTCAGAGAAAGAACTCAGGTGGGATAGTGGGTTAGGTGGTAGGCTGCTAACCTCAAGGGTAGCGGTTCAAAGCCACCAGCCACTCAGTGGGAGAAAGATGATGCTGTCTGTTCCCATAAATGTTTATAGTCTCAGAAACTCTAGGGAGCAGTTTGACGCTTTTGTGGTGGCTCCATAAAACAAGCACTAGATTGCAAACCACAAGGTTCGTGATTTGAGCCTGCCAATTGCTCCGTGGAAGAAAGATGAGGCTTTCTGTTCCTGTGAAAAAACAAAACAAAACAAAACAAAAAACCCTTAGGAAATCCTATACAGCAGGGATGGGAAACTTTTTTTCTGCCAGAGTTTGTAACACCATTTGGGGGCCATATAAAATTATAAAATTGAAAATTAACCTTCTATACACTGTCAAAGTTTTAACTTACCCCTAATGTGATGGTCAAAGTCCTGGTGTGGTGCTATAGGATAAGCCCTCGACCACAAGGTCGGTTTGAACTGCAAGGTCAGCAGTTCAGACTCACCAGCCGCTCTTTGGGAACCGTATACAAGGTTGCTGTGAGCCAGAACTGACTCAACAACACTTAACAATAACATGATGGTCTGGCATGGTGCTGTGGAATAAAGCACTGGACCACAAGGTCAGGTTGAACCACAAGGTTGGCAGTTCAAATTCACCAGCTGCTCTTTGGAAACACTATGAGTCAGAACCCACTCGATGTTACCTAGCAACAACAAAAACATGATGGCTAGAACTGTGGTTGCCTTGGCAGGGCCAGACTAAATGATTTTGCAGGCCTTATATGGCCCTCGGAGTCCTGGTGTGGCACTGTACCACAAGGTCAGTTTGAACCACAAGGTTGGTGGTTCAAATCCACCAGCCACTCCTTGGAGACCCTATACAGGGTGATTTTGAGTTGGAATTGACTCCATGGCACTTAACAACAACAATAGAGTTTATTACAGCATCAGCACAGTGCCTGGTGCATGTGTTTTATGTTAACCAAGTGCCCTCATTTTACAGATGAGGGAACAGATAATGAGAGATAAAGGAGCAGTCTGGCTGTACTTTTTCCAACACAGATTTGTTTGTGTTTTGGGTAGTCCATGGTACTTTTTAATATTCTTCTCCAAAAACATAATTTGAATACATTGCTTCTTCTATGGTCTTCCTTATTCATTGTCCAACATGCGAATGAAGTGACTGAGCATACCATGTCTTGGGTCAGGTACACTTTAGTCCTGCTATAAAGCATGAAATCTTAAGGCTTTTTGCCTGTGAATGACTCCAGCCAGGCAGAGCCTAATTCCATCTTGTGTCTAAGTGTTCAGATGCCATTTTTCCTTGAGTACTTTACACACCTCTGACAGCTGAACTGCCAGAGATAGAAACGGAGTATATTTAAAAGTGGGTTTGGGGCCACTTCCCCCAGCCAGCCATCACAGGAACATTCGTGGACACATCCTTTAATGGTCGCCTGATTGTGATGTCATACCCTAGGAGCCTCAGAGACTGTAAACTTTCCTTTCTGCGCTAGTCTCCTCAACTTTCCATAGGCCTGGCATTGGTGCTGTCAGTCATGATTGTGAGAGGAGATTCCTTTGTTCTCTGTGCCCTATAAAAGGGAAACAGAACTCCAGAAACTCATGGTGTGGTTCATCTCTCTCATCCAGGTGATCTGTTTGTCTTTGTCTTGTATTTACTTTATAGTCTGTATTTACTTCATAGTATCTATAATATTTGAAGATGGGGGTCTCTTTTCTCCCCTATAACAGTCCTCAAACTGACATCTTTGTTCTTTAATATCAAAAAGAGGACTGTTGTAGCAGATTTGCCTATCATTTGATTTCTTGACCGCTGCTTCTATGAGTGCTGATAGTAGATATGAACAAGATGAGGTCTTCGACAACTTTAATCTTTTCTCCATTTTGTCATGATGTCATTTATTGGTTCATTCATGATAATTTTTGTTTTCTTTACACTGAGGTACAATCCATACTGGAAACTGTAGTCTTTGGGTCTTCATCAGTAAGTAATGTAAGTTCTCTTCACTTTCAGCAAGCAAGGTTGTTCTATCTGCATTTTGAAGGGTGTTAAGGACTCTTCCTCCAATCCTGATGCCACATTGTTCATCATATAATCCAATTCTTAGATTATTTGCTTAACGTAAAAATTTAGTAAATATGATAAAAAGATACAACCTTGGTGCACACCTTGCCTGATTTTAAATCCCTTGTTCAGTTCTAAGGACTGCCTCATAGTGTATGTACAGGTTCCTCATGAGCACAATTAATTGTGTTCTAGAATTCAAATTCTTCACAATGTTATCCAGTAAAAAAGTAAACATCTTTCAGGTCAGAATGAAGAAGTTAGTAGAATTCTTCAATTTCTTTAGTGGCTGGTGTGTAAATTTGAATACTACTGGTATTAAGTGACATTGAGTCGGTTCCCACTCACAGTTACCCTGTATAGGGTTTCTGAGGAGCCTCTGGTGAGTTTTAACCACCGACTTTGCTGTTCACAGCACCACACAGGACTCCATTGGTCTTCCTTGTAGGTGTATGGATATTATCCTATCACAGGTAGCATTGTACTTCAAGATAGATCTTGAAATGCTTATTTTGACAATGAATGTGACACCATTCCTTTTCAATTTGTTCCAGGCATAGTAAAATAATTTGTTATTGCTAACGTATAGTTTTCTGATTCAAAATGGCCAATACCAGACAATTTCAGCTCACTAATGCATAGAATATCAATGTTTATGTGTTCCATTTCATTTTTGACAACTTACCAATTTTCCTAGATTCATGCTTTGTACATTTCACTTTCCGATTATTAATGGTTGTTGCAATTATGTCTTTTCATTTGGAGTTATGCCCCATCAGCAAATAAAGGTCCTGAAAGCTCTGCTCCATCCACATCACTAAGGTCAACTCTACCTTGAGAAGACAGCTCTTCCCCAGTCACATTTTGAGTGCCTTCCAAACCTGAGGGGCTTATCTTCTGGCACTATATCAGACAATGTTTCACTGCTGGCTAGTCATAAAGTTTTCAGTGGCTAACCCTTCAAAAGTGGTCAGTCTCTTTTGAAGCTCTGCTGAAAACTGCTGGTGACCCTGCTGGTATTTAAAATACCAGTGGTATAGCTTCCAGCAGCACAGCAAACACAATCCATCACAGTGGACAAACTGACAGATAGTGACAAAGTAAAAGCCAAGCCTGTCTCAGTCCCAAGCCCATCTCCTAGTTGGGAGTGGAGAGCTGGGACCTGGCACTATTTGGAGCACAGATCTAATCCTGGCTCTGGTTCCAGCTCCATGACTTTACAGCTTGTGTTATGGGATCCTCAGACATAACATCAATGACCTGAGGTCAGCTATTTAACAGCAGCTCTGGATTAAACCCCAGGTCTCCCTCTTATTAGGTGGCTAGGGACTTGTTCTGACATGGGTAGGCTATTAGGGAGAGTTAAGATGGATTAGGGAGGTGTGGACAAGGGAGATGCTTTTATAGAAAGTGGCGGGACAGGACACAGGTGTTCACAATGCTACCTACCCATTAGCTGTGGAAAGATGGTTTTCAGATTTACCCTTGGGAAGTCTTTAGTGAACATCTCGTGTGTCTGAAGTTCTGTGCTGTTGGTGGGGGACAGATAGATGACAATCTCTTTTATATACATATATAAAAATTTTCATTGGGAATTGAGTGAAGGTTTACCAAGCAGATAATCAGTTTTACACTCAACAAATCATAGACTTTGCCTCATTACAATGATGACAATCCCTTCCATGTACTAACAGTTAGCAGTGTTTACCTCTATTCACTTTAATATTACATTCCCCTGTGTCTGCCACTACCTTCATCTCTCCTCATTTTATGTTGCCTGCCCTGTCACCATGTTGACATGTGTCTATGCGTAGCCCGTGAATAATTTGCCCTCCCCGCCACTGTAACTATCAGTTTTTTTTAACTTTCAAC